ATGCCTCCTGCAATATTTCATTTCACACTTCTGATCTCTTGCTTTGGAAACAATAAAATATGCACATCTCATCAACCTGGAAGAACCATTTGTCACACATAACAAAAAATGGCTATCAAGTAATTCAAAGTACAGTATCTAAAGAAAGGGCCAAGAAAGCCTTAGGTGTCACAAAAGTATACCTTAAAAAGTCAAACTGCCATACTTTGTTAGTCAGCATGTACAGCACGAATATATCTTTGAACAATGCCTGTTGGGTAGCCAAAATTTATTCCCGTAACGTCTGCTGCAATATCATGCTTTAAGAGAACACAAACAGCAATATTGTTAGAATAATACCACAGTGACAAACAATGCCTTACTTTAAAGGTAAAAATTGCCAAGCAGGGGAAGACTGCTTATTAGAAATTTTGCTCTGGCAAGGTAAAACTTTGGCCAAAAATGGTAGTGCGGTATGCTATTTTTTTTAAAGTCATTATTGTAGCTACAATCTTGAAATCATAAGAAAGTAAAAATAATTATTGTGAGACAGTAGTTAGATTCAAATCCTTTGTAGCCTTCTAGTTGCATGACTGGCTCATCCATAAAAAGACAGAGCATTTTTCTAAGAGCAGTTGGTCACAGTGAACATTGGAGAAAGTTTTTGGGCAAGGGCAAAAAATGAGAGTTGCATTCTTTCCACTGATAAAATCTGAGTCATGATGAGGCTTCCAAGTTCTGGAGTGCTTTACCATGCCTAAGACATTGGTGTAGGCATCAGATGGTAATAGTAAGAGAATCCAGCTACCCAGTCAATTAACAATGGGTTTCCAATAATGGGAGCCAGTTCTGGGAGGAATGCCATTCATAATGGCTATCAACAATAGCAACAATTCCTTGCAGCAGGGATCAGTTGCCAAGGTGGCCAGGAAATTGGAGTGGCAAAAATCCAGATCAGTGATGGAACTTGGCACTGGATCAGGCAATTGTCTAGGATAAGTACAGCAGCCTAGGCTAATGGAGTAGACTAGTGAAAATGGTTAAGGTCCAAAAGTCAATAGGACCTAGAGAAATGAAGAGAAGAGCAACATGTGGAAGTTATAGGAGCTACACATCCAAGCCCCACATCATTGCAGCCAGAAGAATAGCACCTTCATAGCAGCAGGAATATCTCAGGTGGGGTACAGTTGGGACAGCAGCTACTCAATCAAACAGCTGGCAAGGGTTTCTTCCCTTTCATCCAGCAAATTTGAAGAAAAGGAAAGTCACAATGCTGCAGTTGTCTTTGTTAACAGTAAGAAAAATGAAGGTAAAAAAGATTTATGCAACTTAAATTAATTTTGAATTTGTAAATAAGCAGGGAAATGATTGATGTATAAAGTGAACAAAGAAAAACAGAAAGATATACTAAAAGCAAATGATGAAAATAACATAATAACTGATAATTTAAAGATGCAAACATATTTCATCTATATTACTCTAAATTATATAAAACTGTGTGACACTGTTGCTCTCTTTCAACCTAACCCATCTTACAAGTTGTGACTGAGAAAATAAGAAGAAGATGTGTTGGATATGTTCATCACCTTGAGTTATTTGTAGAAAATAATAAAAGACAGACAGACAGATGGAAGGAGGGAGGGAGGAGGCAGGAAAAAAATTCTATTTAAAGAAACAAAATTTATCAGAGATCACAGGAAAAAAGGGAAGGGAGGAATGGACCTTTAACAATAAGGGAGCTATAAAAAAGATCAAAATAAGGAAAATCCCTGGACCTGGTCATTTACTAGTCTCTTATAAATATTTTGAAGATGAACTACTAAAATTGTTGCAACACAAGATGAACTCTATTTTATAGATTGGGAAGCTACTTGATCCTTAGAGGATAACATAGTATTGATACCTAAAGAAAATTTCAACTCAAAGAAGTTTGTGAATTTTCTTCTTCAAATGAAATAAATTCAATAACAAGAGGCAATCCCCTTTTAGTTGTCATAAAACAGATTGGATTTACACCTTCAAGGCCAGAAAGAGTACATATCAAAGAAATAGACTGAGTGTTTAGAATAATGCGTTTATTTTTATAATGCTTCAGGTTACCCATATAAGTTACAGCAGAAACATTTTTACATTTAAACAAACTATTCTGTTAGAGATATCATTTAACTCTAGTTCCTTTTACATACCAATGTCCAGTTTAGCAAAGAAGGAAAAAGTCACAATATGTCACATGACAATGCTGTGATGACACGGGTTTGACACCCCTTTTCTATATGTTCAATACTTTAATCTTTATAAATAGTATGATGTCAATAATTTCTAATCAGGTTACATAAATATCACTGTAGTGAAACAGTAAAAAGTGTCTATGTTTATAAAATATAATAGAAAGAAAAAAAGAACTATAAAGAGAGACTAACAACTATTAAAGCATAATATTTTATCTTGCACAAGATATGCAGCTTTTGAAGGTTGTGCCCATTTTTGAGGAGAAGTACAGGATGGATGTAGGATTTCATAAGCTTTTATTTGAAACTACATCCTCCATTTTATTGAACTTCTTTCTTTTGAAGTAAAATTCATTAAATGTTGTCAACTAAAATATTTAAATATTTTATAAAAAATATTTCTTTGGTCTTTTTAGAGCTGCCTAACTCTAGCTGTCAGGATTCCGGCAGTTACCCCAATTAAATCATGAGTCTCGAGCCAAACTTCCAAAACTTCAAAAGGATTTATTGGGAGTTAAAATGTCTGGCACTGCCTGGTGTAGCCGACTCTGAGACACATAATTCATTGTCTCTTGACCCTGGTTTTCCCGTCAGCCCCTGGGTGTATCATAATTCATATTCTCCAATGGGACACATCCGTAGCCAAGAGTCATCAATTATGTTCTCCATTAGAATTTTGCCTGGCAGAAACTTCAGTCACCTAGTTACTATCTTACTCTAAAAAGACCATAGAAATATTTTATGAGTTGACAAATGTATTATTCACTTGCCTGTTTCCTACATTTCAAAGCATAAGAAAGTAATAAAATTATCAATAGTTTTGTCTACTTAGCTAAATCACAGCTGTGCAAATTCTCTCCAGGGATTATGAAGTATAACTTATGTTTTCATCTGAGTCTATTTAGGAACTATAATCACAGATGATGTCACCACAATGTCATGTTTTCCTGACTTTTTTCTATCTCATTTTGAAGAGTTACAAACTAAAAAAAATTAGTTAAGACTCTTGCAATAAAGTTCTGTTTTATTCTTTAATCATTGTCAAATGCAAAAAGCACCACAAATGCATCAGTAAAAGCACAAAAAACTGTCTACCATTTGTCTTGCCTATTCTGGAGATATTCTACACATTAAAAAGAAGGGCTGGGAAGCCATAGTTAACTTGCTTACTCCTTAGTTAGATGAACTCTGATACAATAAAATCAACTTTATATATTTTTACAAAAATTAATTAAGTACTAGTAAAACTCAACCATGCTGAGTAAACTGAGAATGAGCATTTCAGTTTATTTTCATATAAGCTTACTGCTATAAAAGTAAGGGTTATCAACTATCAAGAGGTATCAATTAGGAATACATCCAAAAAAGATAAGTATGAAATTAGCTAAAGGTAGATTTGTGTACTCCAAAGAAAATTCTGTTAAGTAAAGAAAATTTAAATGATATCAGGCATATCATTTAAAACATTTTTACAACCACCCATATTATACCAAACTCTGGGTGGCTCCCTCTCAAGAATTAAAACAACATAAAAACTATATTAATACTATTACTATTAGCATTCTTACTACTTCAGAAGAAGCAGATAGATTAACGGTACTTATTAAAAATTGATTAACCATCATATTTTAGAAAACCAGCTTGCTGAACATAAAGGCAAGAAATGTGACAAAGCAAAGCAAGATTATATGGAACCTACAGATAAGAATAAAGGTTCTAAGACAAAGAATAAGAGATAGTCATGAATTGCATGAAGTGACGGATGAGTTGAAGTCATAAACTGGAAAATGACAGAGAACACACATTCAAAGGCAGAAAAGAAAATAAAATGCAATTTTGTACATTGCAACTGGAATTATTATGAAAGCACAGTAGGATAATGAATGTTGACATATATAAAAATAACTGAGAAAGAAGGAAAAGAAACCAGCATTTTAAAGAAATGAAACCAAATAATATCTTGCATAATTGTGTAAAACTAAGTCCACTAGTCCTGTCCACTACTCCTAGAGAGAAAGGATAAAGATGTAGTTCTATGTATGAAAAGAAACAGTTCCAAAAACACTGTGATAGTTCTGCAATTCCTGATAAATACATTTTACCAATTCGAAAAAGAAGAAATTAGCAAAAGAAGGAAAAATTTTACACTAATTTGCATTTTAGCAAGGAATGTAAAACATAGTTTGGAATCTATTAAAAAATATATGGCCAACTATAAACAAATCTGCCAAGGTTACTAACTATTTAATAACAATTAAATTATTAAAGACTAAGTCTTTAATAAGACTTAGTGAAAACTGATTCCTCATATTGATCATCATGGGCATTATTCTGCCCATGGATTTACTTAGTGGAGCTAAAGAGTTCTAACAATAAACTAAAAGTAGATACTGCAACTTAATGTCCTTAAAACCTTTGATTTTGGAAATAATTTCTTAGTTCTCCAAAAGGAATGAACTGTACTATTTTGACCATGGTGTGCAAAAGTTCAGATATCCAAAATAAACACAAGGAATTACACATCTTATTATTTTATATATCTGAATCTCCCCAAGAAACTTTTTCCTATTCTCATTTACATTTAACACTGCTTTGACCTTTGAAAAAAAGGTTTAAAATATTCATAATTACATATGAATCAGGAAGCACAAACAAAATAATATGGTCTAACTCCTGCTATGTATTGATATGTGCATGTTTTTCTGTGTAAGTATATATAAGATGTACATCCCTAGATCCACATATTCTGTTTATGTGTGTTTGACAAAAAGTATTAGAAAATCTTTTACTTACAGGAATGCAATTCAATTCAACCTTTTTTGTTTTGTTTTTAAGGTGCAGTGATTTCAGCATCTAAAATGTAACTTCAGGCACTCTGAAAAGAAACAGGTTAAAATCTCTTTCAGTAATAATTGCTATTTCAGATTTAATTAAAAATTAAACTTTCATAATGTTTCACCATCCAAAGCAATGCATTATCAGTCAAGCATAGCTCTTCTTTTTTAGCTAGAAAAGCTCTTTCAGAGCAGTTTGTAACTAAGAAAGGAAATAAAGAAGACACTTCAGAGTAGAAAAATATAGCTCTCAAATAAAGGTTCGCAAATAGCATTCTGAAAGGTGGGGGGAGATGGGAACATTTCCCGAATCTTTATATCAACAGCTAACTTATTAAAATAATAGGCATTATATATATATTTAAAATAGATGAATTTACATACACATGATTGTGGGAGGAATGAGCAATAACACACACACACACACACACACACACACACACACACACACAAGGTTTTTAGGACAAAATTGCAATGAAAAAAGAACTGCACTTTTATACAGATATATGCACTAAATGGGAAATCTTCACAGTTTATTGATGTATTTCTATTATCAGGGTTGCTAAGGCAGATTACATTCACATTTTTAAAACTGTAGTATATTTTACTGTAACACTTTCACAAAATTGAAAAACAAAATGTAATGTACAATTTTATCCTAAACAACTGTTTAAAAATCTCTTTTCTGAGACAAAATTATGTAAAATCTATGTAAGAAAGCAAAGGAATAAGCAATAACTACTTAATTTGGGGGGGGGGGGTTAGAAGTTGTGCTCATATATTTACAGGATTAAATATACTGTGGGTGTTTTTAAATGAAATATACAATACATTGGTGAATAGGGGTGTCAAAGTTTCAGGGTTGTAATGCCATTCCAGGAATAATGCTGCATAGTTTTTCAGATACAATAATATATATAGAGCACCAAAGCAAGAATAACAATAAAAAATAAAAATATGCCATCAAAAACAAAATAACAGCATATCCTACTTAATTTTTACTATAGTCAATGCAGCAAAATGTGATACCAGTTATTTACAAATATTAAAACACAAAATTCCCCTTCAAAATCAGCATATATAATCAGTTCATATAGCCAAAGAGTTGTTGGGATATGTAGAGACAGCAGACAATGAAGTCTCATAAGAGCATTTGTTTTGGTAAGAAAAAAGATTTTGATAGGACATTACAATATACCCCCATTTAATAATCAGTATTTGCTTTTTTCTACAGATATAGTTCCTGTGAAACAATATATCTAGCATCACATGAATCTTATATAGGACAGAATTTTAACTTTGAAACTGTGCATTCAATCATGTGCATGTTGATTTAGTTCTGAAAATCTACTCTGCCACTTACAATTTTGTGTAAAGATAAGTGGTAGCAGATAATCTATAATCACCAGTGCAAAATTTTCTCTTCATATTTTGTATTATTTTAGTGAGCTTAGATAGTATTTTTTTGTATTTTGCCAGAGATAATATAACTAAATAAGCCTTGAGTTTCATCTTTCATTATTCCTATTTAGTTATATATCCCTATAAGTTTATAGATCAGTCTTACACGTTAGGAATTTGTACACTATGTATATGTATCTATGTATATGTATTTTGTTCATACCCACAAATACAAAGACATTTTCCAATGCAAGATTTTATCTTCAGATTAACTTCATTACTGTAGTAGGCTAAAGAACTGTTCGGAATCAAATGAATACTTAATATGTACTTCAATCTGATGAGAAATATTTGAGATTTACTTTCCATGCCGAACAATCTAAGATCTCCTGGAATCAAGGGGATTTTTAAAATTTCAAAAAAGTATCTAATTTGAGTAATACAGCTTGGGCACACAGACTAAAATTTAACAGAGAGATATGAATGCCAGCATTCTGGGAGGAGTTATACTCCTCTTAAAGATTTAGGCTCATAGTTGAATATGCTGTTAAAGGCTTTAGTAATGGGAAGGACTAGGACTGCACAAGTGGGATGATTACAATGCTGAATATGTCATGTAAGTAACACTTAGTTAACTGCTTCCTGAACTACCTGCGTTTCTACGTGGGGCCATTTTTTTTTTGCTTTTCTAGAATACTGTAGTCAGATGATTGACCAGAGACTGTTCAATTGAAAAACAAAGTATGTTAATGATTAACTGGCATGATTATTAACATGCCAGTTAACCAGGTTTCTAAAGTAGCTTGAACTTGTGGGCACGATTGATTGATTGATTTACAATATTTATATGCTTTAAACTAATATGTCTCTAAATTTTCTCTTTATTATTTATTGTTTTATCATAGAAAATAAAGTACAAAACAGTAACAAACAAAATGACATTCAGGCCTAACAGTCACAAAAAAGAAAAAAGTCCAAAAAAGGAGGGGAAAAAAAAGGAGGAAATTACATTTAACATTTAACATGTAGGATCTAAATGTCTCTAAATTTTAATTAGATATTGTAATTTCCTCACATTTAGGCAGATGTGCTTTCATTAGTAGAAAAGCAAAATATAAAATAAATAAATATATTTTTGCATATTGGCTGATCATTCATAAAATATCCTAAAAAAATTTTGGACCTTGATTAATTTTGTAGCCTTTTTCCCTTTATTCAAGTCAATCCCATCTAAAATTCTAATAATATAAAAGAGGAAAAGCATACAGGTTAAAATGATATACAAACTTATCACAGCAAATGACAATAGAAAAATGAGGTACAAATGATATTTGGACAGTTGTTTCTTTGTTAAGATATTGTTATTCCATCGATAGTCAATTAAGATTCTGTCTGCCATCAACAGAATAATTCGGAAAGATACACATTTGATAATGCAGGGAAAAGAAAGATGAATTTTAAAAATGGACTGGATCATGCTGAGAGCTGCGGAGAAAACAATAAAGAAAAATACCACAAATGGATTCCCAGGAGAAAATATATTGGCACTGATTCAGAATGCTGATGATTTCTCCAGTCTAAGCCCACATCGCTTCTCCCTCCTGATCACATGACCTAAAACACAGCATATGTGCTTCCCAATGTACTCACACAAACATTCACACATAGCCACAACATCAGTGGGGAGCAAATATATTTACCCAAACACCTACACAGATGCAATAGTAACTTCTATTAGAGTTTTTGATTTACACAAAGAAAATACTAAAATCTCCAATGGCCCATTGCACTACACATCTTGTTAAAATATTCACATTATATCAATACTAAAACTCTTCTTAATAATAGGATTTCTTTAATAATAGAAATTATTTCATGAGAACACTTACTATTTCTAGAAGTAGCAATAACATATATAAAAATATAGTAACATGGATACTGTTCTCATTCATTCAGACTGAAGTAACTTTTCTAAAGGCATTAATGATAACAGAAGGTCAAGTTAGTGGATACTAATATTATCACTGGAAAAATGGATACTTTGGTAAGGACAGCTTTTCCTGACTTAGACAACTGATTCAGTAATTTATGATAGCTCTGTATTTTTCCAAATTAAATAGTATCATTCTCTTTCCTGGGTAATCAACAAATCAAAACCATGTGGATTTGCACATGCTTATTCATTAATAATCTTTATAAATATTCCATTTAATATTTTATATTTACAAAGAAATATTTTATATTTATATTATAGTTATATTTATTAATATCTGCAACAAAGATAGCATTTCTGTGTGTGTGCGTGTGTATTACACTTATAGCATTAAATAACTAAATTATAGACCATACAGTTTCCAAAACAACAGCCTCCCAGTTTTGCTATCATATATTATCTCTTTATTTGTAACTTTATTTTAAAGTATTTATTTTAAAATACTTTTAACTCCAATAGATTATCAATTAGATATTTAACCAATATGTAAAAAGAAGTAGAGAAACAGAATTAGGATACAAATACAGAATAACTGAATGAATGAAGACTGTGTAGCATAGTGCAGTTTTGTTACCATAAGTATTGTCTATTGTACCTACTTTTTCTTTAAAAAAAAAGATTTTTTTTTATTGAAGAGTCCAGCTATTGAAGCATTGACTGAAGAATCTTTTTAAACTTTAATGTATGTGTTGAAACATTCCAGGGCTAGAATTTTAAAATATACTAAATTATTCTTACAACAGTGATTAAATGGGCTAAGAATTTTTCATAATACCTCTTGACACTTCTCTCGTACACAGGGTGATGACGAAAAATAAGCTGGCTACAGAAAAACTATAGTATTCCAGTATTCCAACTGTTTTCTTGCACAAGCTGTCCCTAGATCCTGTTTATGTTCCTAAAGAACGGGAACAGTTGACAGCATGCAGCTTTTGAGAGGCCTTGCACAAATATATTTTTTTACTAAAGATATAATTTTTTAAGCTCAGTCTGAGCCTTCAGTTTATCCCAAATTTGCTTATATTCTTCATGTCTTCATAACATCTTAAGAATCTCCAATTTTTCAATAGTTGCAAATGCCCTGATTTTACAACTTCACTTTATTGTCTCCCATGCTTCAAATTACTACCAAAAAGAAATAATGTGAGTTAATGAGCAGGGGCTGCAATTATTTTAAATACATTCTGTTCCAATATAAATAAGTATTTTTGTAACAATCATTCTTCAGTAGGAAACTGGGTGGATGAAGGAAATGTGCTGGATATAAATTGTTTGGATTTTGGCAATGCCTTTCGTACTGGATCAACCAAGGAAATGTACACTGAACACAATGTAGAAAAAAAGAATCTGACAGCAGGAACATGAATTGTATTAGCTGAAAATTGAGGAAAATGTAATTGGAAATCATCATTAAGGCAATGAGAGTACTTCATTTTCATTAACAAACACTAGAAAACAGTTAAAAATTAAGGGGTTTTATAACCTAAAATACTGCATGAAAGATATATTTTTATGAAAAGATGTTCTTTCAGGATAGGCCTTAGCTTCTTCTTCAATATCTGTTTTTTGTTAATTTGGCACTGAATTATGTTAAAATATCTTGAATTGTTTCTTGTTTAAAATGTCCTTTCAGAAAACGAAC